GCATCGAGGTTGGGCCTTCGATCATAGCCTCAATCATGGCATCGAGCTTGAGCCTTCGATTGTGACCCTCGATCTTGGGTCTCGATCCTGCCCCTCGAGTCTTGCCTTCGATCATGGCCCTCGAGTTGGACCTTCGATCATGGCCCTCGAGTTGGACCTTCGATCATGGCCCTCGAGCTGGACCTTCGATCATGGCGCTCGAGTTGGACCTTCGATCATGGCTTCGATACACAAGCTCGAACCTGTGCCTCGTCAAACCTGGGCTCGATATCTGGCTCGATATCTAGGCTCGATCCCAGCCCAGAATGTCCAACAGAAGAGGAAAAATTGAAGCAGCTTTTTAACTCAAATTTTTGATCCGTTAACCATCTGAAACTCACCCGAGGCTCTCGAGACCTCAACCAAATATACCAACAAGTCCTAAAATATCATACGAACTTAATCGAACCTCTAAATCACATCAAACAACGCTAAAACCATGAATCATACCCCAATTCAAGCTTAATGAAACCAAGAGTTTTTAACTTCTACATTCAATGTCGGAACCTATCAAATCAACTCCGATTGACCTCAAATTTTACATACAAGTCATAAATTACATAACGGAGTTATAAAAATTTTTGAAACTAGATTCCGACTCCGGTATCAAAAAGTCAACTCATCGGTCAAACTTCCAAACTTAAATTCTTGTTTTTAGCCATTTCATGCCTAATTTAACTACGGGCTTCCAAATAAACTTCCGAACACGCTCCTAAGTCCAAAATCACCATACAGAGCTGTTGGAATCATCAAAATTCTATTCCGGGGTCGTTTTTCTCAAAATGTTGACCGAAGTCACACTTAGCACTTTAAGGCCAACTTAAGGAATCAAATGTTCCGGTTTCACCCCAAACCCTTCCAAATCCCGAACCAACCATCCCCGCAAGTCATAAATCATTACAAGCACCTACATGAAGTTTTATTTTAGGGAACGGGGTTCTAAAAATTAAAATGACCGGTTGGGTCATTACATCCATTATTTTCTTGAATTATACCAACAACTCTTCTAACTAAAGTGATCTCATCTCTAAATAATTCAAGGCCACTCTTCACAATTAAATTATAAATATGACATGCACACCTAACATGAAATATTTCAGGAAGTGGTGGGTGTAGATGCAATTTTAATATTGTAATAGCAACATTCTTTTTAGAAGCATTATCAAATGACATATACAAAACTTTTTCTGAAAGATTGTAAAATATAGCAACTTCATGGATAGTATTACTTATAAATGCGCCAGTATGACTTAGATCTTCATCATATTTAAAAGCAATAATACGTTTTTGCGTACAAAAATTATCATCTATCCAATACAGTCAAATACAGTCAGACCTCTCTATAACATCATCCCTATATAACAACACTTCACTATAAAAGTCAAGCTTTTTCGGAACCAATTTTCATGTTATGTTATAATATATGTTCTATATAATAGCATTTCGCTATAACATTCAAAAATATTCGAAACAAACGAGGCTGTTATAGAGAATTTTGGCTGTAATTATTTTCATTAATAGCACGACCAATATCTGAAGTAAGAGAAACCCTACAAGAAAGACTGGCGAACAAATAACGTATATATGTCTGATATTGTCCAAAAAGCCTAAAGATATCAGCTCTACAAGTACTTCTAGGAATACCTTTAAACATGGTTATCAATTCTTGAATATAAGTAACAAGATATGGTGAGGCAGCAAAACTAAAAGGTAAAGAACCTAAAACAATCATTTTAGCTAATTCTTCCCGATCTTTCGCTATATCGTATTTACTCATTAAACTTCCAGTACCCGAGTTAAGTTTTTGTTGCCCACCATCCTCATCAACACCTCATGCAATAAGATGGTTATCTACCATGTGCCTACGAAGTTGACCCGTTCCCCCTGCCTTACCTCCGGTCTCATGTTTATAAACTTCCTTACAAATTTGACATATTACGTAATTTTTATCTTCTTCTAGTCTTTCAAGAAAAATTCTAACACTTACTTCTTAATCTTCGATTCCTCTTAATAGGGAGGAGAGGCCTACCTGTATTACAACAACCTCCACCCCTAGTATTTGGAGTTTGACTAACATTACCAGGTGTAGCTGGTGGTGTTTTAAGATTATCAGATGATTGAATATCATCCAAATTATCATCTATACCATAATTTTCTTGAAATTGCTCATAATCTACATTTAAATTTTCAGGTGAACTTTCAGAAATATGTGTAAAGCTACTAGAAGAACCAGCACCACCTCTTGATTTTTTTAGGAGTTTTACTCTTACTACTACCACCCATACTAGTACACGTTTTTTGGTTGCTCTAAATATATCCATTATGTAAATTGAATTAATAATTATAAATAATAAAATAAAAATATACACCAAAGAAGAGAAAGAGATGGAATGAGTATACCGAAATTTCGGATGCCGCACTAAATTTGATATCAAACTTCAGTTGATACTTGATATTTGATGATATTGAAGGGGTAGAAGGGGTATTTTCTTAAGGGGTAGGTCGAAATGGCCATTTTTACAAAAAATGGACGTTGTCCAACGGTCATTTTTGAATTTGACCGTTGGCAATGGTCAAAAAAAATTTAAAAAATATATTTCCAACGGTAATAGGGTTGGACCGGGCTAACCGGGTTCCGGGGCACCAGTTACCAAAATACGTTCGTTCCCGCCTGGCTCCCCCCCAACCCTCTTCAACCCGTCCCATCCCCTAGTGTACCGGGCTGAATCGGGTCGAACCGGGCTGTCATTGGACTGGCCCGACCCGATTAACAAGTATATGATGGACTCGCACCCTAAGGAAGGATAAACTCAGGCAAATATTTGATTTGGCGATAGACTCGCGCCACAAGTTTACCGCGAGACTCAAGTATATAGGCAAAATCGGGGAGTGAGAAAATTAAGTTTAGAAGTGGTTGTCGAGAGCTTTTAAGGAGACTCGATCAAGCCATTAATGCACTCCAAAGGAGAGTTAGGGTAAATCTCACAAATGATCATATAACTATGATATTTTTTCACCAAAGGCATATAACTATATTTTCTCATACAAAAATCATAAAACTATTACTAACTCACACCAAAATCATAGTGGCTGAAAAATATAAATTTTCAGTAGTATTTTCTTATTCCACGATTTTTATTTTTTATTTCAAGGCTAATAAATAATAACCTAATTAAAATAGGAATGACCCAACCCAACCCGATCCACCCAACCCAGTAGCCACATATATAAATTAACATAATACTAAAAGTGAATCTTTCAAAACACGATACTTCTATCTTTTTTTTTTTTTTTTTTAAGATTTTCATTCAAATTGATAGCATTTTTGTTTTAAGCGCTCTCTAATTATGCTTTTTTTTTTTGTGAGAATCTTATGCATTCCAAACTAAGTTTTTTTGCGGGGGAAGGATTCACTTTTAGTATTATTTTAATTTTCATACATGGGTATTAGGTTAGGTTAGTTGGGTCATTCCTATTTTAAGCGAAAAATATAAAATTGATCGGTCGGCCGAAATTAATTTCATTCGCTAGACAAAAAATATATGAATATGTATATAATACACACACACACACACACACATATATATATATAGTATTCAACTATTATTTTCGAGAGAGGCTAAAAATATATATTTCTCCTATTTTAGTTGGGTTATTATTTATTAGACTGAAAATAAAAAAAAAATCTCGAATAAGGCAATACTACCGGAATTGTTCTTTTCCGCTAACGATGATTTTTGTGTGAGCTAGCTTAAGGGTATTTTAGTTCACCTATTTTCATTAAATATATAAAGGGTTGTTTTTGTACAAATATCAAAAGCGGGGACAAAACTTGAACACCAGCACAAAAATATCCTATTTGTGCAAATCACCCCTTAAAACCGGCTGCCTGGTTCAAATTCTAGCCCAATCTATATTATTGGGCCACATGACCCATTTATAAGAAGAAGAATTAATCCAAATAGCCGCCCACCCTAGAACTTAAACTAAAAATAGCCAGCGAATATATTATATGCATAATTTATGTATTAAATGTGTATAATCATATATAATCAATGTATAGTCTATGTATATGGCTAGAAAAAATAAATAATTAATATGATCGGCTATTTGTGTAAAAATCCCTTATAAGAATATAGCCGGCCCAAAGCTGGACGACCCGGAACGACGCCGTACACTACAATTTTATGGCCCAGGGAATGGACACGCTGAGAGAAAAGGACATTCCACGTAAGCAAAAGTTCAAAATTGAAAAAGGAACATTCACAAAAAAAACAAAATGTTTTTCCTTTTCAAATGAAACATTTTTGAGAAAAATGAATGAAAAGTTAGAATTAACTGCCAAAACCTGTCAGTTTGTAAATATTGCGGCAGGGTTTTTGTAGGGTTTTTCCAATTTCACAAATACTGCATATATAATCGAAGAGAAAATCTTTCACTTTCACATTTAAATTCGTTTACACTACATGTGCATATGTATATATACATATGTAAAAGAGTGGTAGAGAGAAGAAACAAGGATAAAGAGAACATGTGTTCTTTGAAAAATGCTACAGAAACGGTGGTCTTAGAACATGAAGAAGATGAACCAATATTGAAAGAAGAATCCCAAAAGTACTGCACCTTTTCAATTAGATACCCACAACTTTAGGAAATATACAAGAAAGCACAAGCCAGTTTCTTGACTGGTAATAAATAATGCACATATTTGTAAAAGAATGTTCCATAATTCTTTTTCCTTTTTCTTCTTCTGTTGAAATTTGGTTGCATTGTTATTCTATGTTCTGAATTTGTTATGCAAAATTGTGTCTGTTTACTTATTCCTGTCACTTATTTGTTTATGATCAGTTCATTTCTGTAAAGTTTGTTGCTTTATATGGTTTCTTGGGCTAGTAATGTGCATATTTAAAGTTTCAAATTTATTTTTTGTTCCTTTTATTTGTTATTTTGTATTTGTCAGTGTTGAAATTTGGTTGCACTATTAGTCTATATTCTAAATTGGGTATGCAAAATTGTGATTTTTTTACTCTGTGTCACTTTTTCATCAATGTTGAGGTTTTTACTATAAAATTTGCTGTTTTTAATCTCACTTATTTGTTTATGATGAGTTTTATCCCTAACCTTGCTGCTTATAGGAGTGTTTGCACTTTTTGAGAGAAAGATTTTGGCACTGTGGTGGTTTGCATTGTTTTCGTTTCATTATTTGTCTATATTCTGAATTGGGTGTGCAAATTGTGTTTATTTACTTCTTCATGTCACTTGTTTGTTTGTGATCACTTTTTTCTCTAAAGTTTGCTGCTTTATAGAGTATTAGTTTCTATTGCAAGAGTGGTTACTATTTTCTTTAAAGTTTGCATTATTCATCTATATTCCATTGTGTTTATTTATGTCGTCAAGTCACTTATTTGATTATGATGATTTTTCCCTTTACAGTTTGCTGCTTTTATGAGTTTTATCTAAAGTTCAAAGTTTTCCTTTTAAATTTTCCGTTCTTCATCTATATTCTGACTTGACTATGCAAATTGTGTTCATTTACATCTTCACTACTCCTATTTTGTTTGTGATGGGGGTTTTTCTGTAAATTTTGCTTTTTTATATGAGTTTTCTCTGAAGTATTATTCAATTGTAACTTTTAGTATTTGGTTGCCGGAAGTGGTGGAATACCGCAGGCTGTGGCAACTCCTTTTGTGGTGGGACTGCTTTCCCCGACCCTAATGGTTGATGCTTTTTAGGAAATTCATATACTCCTTTGAAAGTTGGAGAAATCATTGACCATTAGAACCACACGTAGAGGATGTTGCTGCAGTTGGACTTGTGTTAGTTGGGGAATGTTGTCTTTAAAAGGTTAATATTTGCAGTTTATAGCTCGCAAGCAGAAGGAGTAGATTCCTTTTGAGAGATCTTTCTTTTTTGATAACCGAGCAAATCCGTGGGATTTAGCTTGTCCGCCACAGTTGACGCACATGTTCGTAAATTGAGGGAGTATGGGCCGGTCCCTCTCCCTCCACTGACTTAAATATCAAGCTTTAGTTTTCGGCAAGGTTCGAATTCGTGATGTCCGTGTATCAAACATCCTGTGTTGTGCTTCCTTTATCATTGAACCAAAGCCCTAGGGGCAGTCGTTCGAGAGAACTCAGTTGGCTTAGAGATAGTTCGGGTGGGGATTCGTATAAGAATTAATAACACAAGTAAATGGATAGTTGAGTCGTCAATCCTGCACCAATCGTTGATGAGTTGTCTTGCTCGAAAGCTATAAGTTGCCCCCTAAACTCGGGATCCATTCTGCCTGAAATCTATAACGTGTCCCCAGGGCTTGATCTAGTGCTAAGAGCGTAGCGCTTGATGTGTGGTTTAGTTGCATGTCACGGGATCAAACCCTTCCGCAGATAAAAAGCTTGGTATTAATTTAAATGGAGATGGGCAGAGGAGCGGGTCCATCTTTCAATGAGTTTCCAGCCATGCGCGACTGGCCCTTGGAGATTTCTAAGTAATTAAGAAAAACGTGTTCATGTGGGTGAAGAAGAGAAGTTTGACAAGCTAAGGAAATCCAGGGAATAGCGACTGATTGTTAAAATCATAGTTAAGTGGTAACATGATGTAGGGGATCATGGGTGATTGTTAAAATCACAGCTAAAGGGTAACACAATGTAGAAAGTTTAACACTTGCCACATTAACTCCTCAATATTACTATCACAGTATCTTAAAGGCCCGAGCAATCAACTGTTGGTCTGATTCTGTTGACTTTTTTTGTTGAATGCGTTAAGAATTAGCTCTACGTTTCCACATTTTTTGTTTCATATCAAAGGGTGGCCTAGAGTAATAAAGGTTGCTATGGTTTTGTTAGTAAATAGACCTCCAACTCTCTGTATCATCGTAATATAAGGAATAAAAATGCACATGCTTATGTATATATTAATGGTTTATAGAAAGGCTGTGTGTGAGTACAGCTGAAGAAGTGTAAGAACTAAAGCTCAATTTCTGGTGCCTTCAATCCATTGCATGGGAAAAGGGCATATATTCTGATATTTAGGGAGGTCAATTCCACTTAAAAGAAATACCATTTTGAAACTAGTCATACTAGAAGTGCATGCTGTTATTTGTGTTTTTGACACTATTGGGATAGGCTGTGGTAGATATTGCTTGCAGTAACTTCTGCAGCCTTTTTGAAACTTCCCAGGATTGTTATCTCATCCTTTTCGTTGGTTTTAAAGCTTGTGTTCTGTTTACTAATGACTATATGGCAGTGGTCTGGTGCTATTGGCAACCTGTCTTCTGCATATAAATATGTTTGCTAATTACTGCATATTTGTGCATCTAGCTTCTGCTATAGCTGTACACTGTACTAATCTAACATATCCTTCTTCGCTTTCGAATATATTGGATACAGCTGAGGAGGTTGATCTCTCTCAAGATTTGCAGCAATGGGAAGCCTTGTCTGAATCTGAGAAGCACTTCATCAGTCATGTTCTGGCATCTTTTGCTGCATCAGATGGAATTGTGTTGGAAAAGTTGGCTGCTAGGTTTCTAAATGATGTTCAGATTCAAGAGGTGAAATGGCTGACTTCATTTGCATATCTTTATCTTAAATATAAAAACAATCGAGTGACTCTGCTTGATGTTGATTAATCTCCTGTTCCAAAAGTGTTCCATTTTTCTTAATAAGATAATATTCCGTTTCAGAAGTGTTCCTTTGTCCTCCGACTCCCTTCCCTTCCCCTAAAAAAATGAAAAATGTAAAAAAAAAAATTATAATCCTTTCTCTCATCGTCCTTGTTTTTTTTATGAACTTTAAAGTTAAACACTCATGAAGCACAAAGGGTATATTAGGAATAACACACAGTATTAGTAATTACTCCATCCGTTTCATGTTGACTGGTCAGGGAGTTTAAGAAAGAAATGAAAACTTTTGAAACTTGTGGTCTTAAACATGCCATAATATTTGTGTGGCGATGAAAGCTTGTCGTGAAGGACAGGGGCGGCTCAACATTGTCGGTGGCCTAAAGCCAAATCTTGATGAGAGGACTTAATTCCTTTTTTACTAAAATATTTTCTTTATATTTTTATTTGAAGTCTATGTTCCTAACTACTTAAAATGCGAAGTTACCGATAATTTTATTAGTAACTTATTCTATTTTTTTCAACTGATCATACCACTAATCCTTTTAATCTCTACTAAGACGTTAATCCTGGGTAAATTTTATCATTTAATTTAGAAAAACTTTTTTCCGCAGATATAACTGTTATAGGATTATTATTCTACGAGTAATATAGGTGTTTGAGAAAAAAATCAAGTCTTGTTTTCTGATCGAGTATATTGATTAGAGTATTGTCTCTACTTGTAGTATTTTCTTTAACACTTTTAATTGAAAATTAAGTTTAAGCTATCAATATCAGAGTGACTATTATATTTTTACCGAGATCGAGGCATTTTTTAGATTCTTATCTTTTAGTGATCTCAAATTTTTCTCACAAAACAGAAAATCAAAAATATTTTCACATGTTTCGAATTATTCAAATCTTAATGGTTAACTTTAATAACAAATCAAAGTTTTTTTTTTCTTTTCTTTTTTATTATAAATTATACGTTTTACTTTAAGTTATTCAGATTTTTTTTTTTTATAAAAATAGTGGTAACTTATAAAACTATTACTACTTGTGAAAAATGGGGCCTCCAAAACTTTAGGGGCCTAAAGTCATTGCTTTGGCTGCCTCACCCTTCAGCCGACACTAGTGAAGGGCAAAGAAGTTTAAGTTCAATTGTTTCGAAATTTTGAAAGGGTTCATTCTTTTTGGAACATACTAGAAAGGAAATAGGGTCACGTGAACTGAAACAGAGGGAGTAGTTGTCTTCTGTATTATTATGTAATATTGTTGGAATAACACTTCTGGAAGCTGTTTTTGGTAGATTTCTCATTGCTAACACATCTGCTTCTAAATAACTAAAAAGAAACGGATAGTTGGAGCACCATACTGAAAAATTATCATCAGTGCCTAAATATATTGGAGGGGATATCACATTCATTAAACCTGACAACTAGGCATTACTGGAAAGGAGAGTATCTAGATTAATTTGCATATTTTTCTTGTCCCTTAATCGATGCATTTCACTGGCTAATCGGGTAACTTGCCAATAATGTGTGAGTGGTTTTAATACTCAATAAGCTGTTGATGCATTTTTTCCAATACTTAACCTCTCTTCTGCCAATGAACTTGTAAGAAACATTCTCATTTTGGCAGCATGTCTTTCAAATGGTTAATCATCTGATAATAAGAACTTTTGGAGGGTAGGGAGCAATATTTTAGGTGTTTAGCCAATATGGTTTTTGTAAAATAACTCTGATTTTACAGACAACATCATTCTTCTTTCTGCAAGCACGCCCATTTTATGGTTTTCAAATTGCAATGGAAAATATTCACTCCGGTAGAGCTTTCTAACTGTTTGTGTGCAGTCAACATGTTTTTTCTCTTTTGCTTGTTATTCTTTTAGAGAAGTAAGGGGTTTGTAGCATGTACTCTTTAGATGTCTGATTGGAGCGTCTCTACTTATAGAGATGTACAGCTTGCTTCTGGAGACTTATATCAAGGACTCAAGGCATAAAAATAAGCTTTTCAATGCAATTGAAAGCATTCCTTGTGTCTCACGGAAGGCCAAGTGGGCCTTGAATTGGATACAGAGGTATCAATTCATCTTTCCTATCCATTGTTTTAACCTTTCTGGTCTTAATGAATATATTTAAGACCCTTAATATATGTAAGCAATATGAGAAACAATTAATTCTGGTTAACTATTTCGGACATTGTACCTTGTCGGGGAAAAAAACTACTTGGGATATAGTACGATTGTTGCTCATTCTTTTGTAACCGATCTTTATCTTTTACTCGCATTACTTGCATGGATTGATGACTTTTAACTGCTCCTATGGCGTATTTTGTTTCTTTATTTTTTTCCTACTTCTTTCTTCTGGAGGTTGTTTGATAAATCTATATTATTTCGCTTTTCACTTTCTGAATTAATTAGTCATTCTCTTTGAACTAACAAGTTTGATAATCGTCTTTTCAGGTTGCATTAGGGTACGATAAGAAGTATAATGTTGAGAACCCCTTCGATTGGATGGAATTTATTTCACTTCAGTAAGTATCAATGCGTACAAAGTTGGTTCTGACTCTGTTTTGTAGCAATTCTGCATTTTCTTTAGAAGGATAACATACAAGTAGTGGCTGGAAAAGTATAGATAGGATCCACGAAGTGATTAAGTTAATTGACGTTTAACTTAGTATGATTATTTGGATTCCACCTTCTTTACTGGGGCCTATGGGCTAGTAAAAGTTTCCTCTATGATTTAATTTGATCATGTTTATAGTTTCTAATTCAGTTTTTGACTGTGCAGGGGCAAAGCCAACTTCTTTGAGAGAAGAGTAGGTGACTATCAGAAGGCTTCTGTGATGTCAAGTTTGCAAGACAATGGCAAGAATTTTGAGTTCAAACTAGATGAGGACTTCTAGAGATTTTTCCTTTTCCCTTTTTGTCCCCTCAGTAAGAGGCTTTAGCATCACCTTGATGCTGAAAGATGGCATCTTTTTGTAGTACCATTCATTAAGGATCATATTGTTTATAGTAAGGTTGGGAGTTCTTGGAGGGAGGGAGCCGAGGGTCTATCGGATACAGTCTCTCTACCTTAGGGTAGGGATAAGGTCTGCGTACAAACTACCCGGGATTATATACTGGCTTGTTGTTGTTGTTGTTATTGGTTATAGTAAATACCTTTTTCTCACATTTAGAAGGGCACTTGATTGCCTTATGTGAAGAAAAAGTAAGCGTATTTGTCATAATGTCAAACGTGATAATTTTGGTAGTTATGAGTGTTGGTTGGACTTTGAAGACTATGTGAAACTCTTTGGCCAACTACTTGTTGCCTAGTAAGGGCAAAGATAGTGAAAATTGGTTCTTGGGTTCATCTTCTTTAGGTGGATTGGCTCAATCATCATTTGGTTTCCACTTCATGCCCCACTTTTACTTGTTGCTTTTTATCCATTTCATCATAAATATTCTTCACACAAGATATGGAGCAGAGAAGAAGGACATTAGATTTCTGCTGCATGGAACTTTGTTATTTATTCTTTTTAACCTTAGTGGCGGTCTACGTCAAACTCCGTGGGTTGCAGCCGTTCGTCGGACCCTGCGTAAATGTGGGATACCTTGTGCATCAGGCTATCCTTTTTTGCGATTATGCTGTGGATTGTGTGATTTTGTAACTTAGCTAGTATTGTAAATGAATCAATCTAACATTTTACTTGGTGCTATTTGTTGTGTCTACATTTTTGCAGTGGAAGGTGCTTCTGTCACATCATTGAAACAATGTGTTTAAATTTGTATCTATAAGGTAACAGAATTAGACACTAGCCAAAATCTTGAAGCACTAGCAGAAATGGGAAGAAACTTGGTTGTCACATCCCATCAGAAAGGCCATTTTGGTGGAGCTCTTGTAATTTCTTCTGTCCACAAGTTTTGCCACTATATTTGCTCATCCATCTTAATATTAAGAAAATAATATTAAGAAGGTAGAAGGGAGGAAAAGAGTTCCATGCTTCACCCATTTGCTGTCTCTCTGAATCATCAAATGTGCACACTCCACATGATGCAAACAGAAAAAGAAAATAAAAAGAGTTGGTGGTTTGAGATAATGCAAGTATCATCCCTCCCACCAACTACTCCCTTCCAAAAAAAAGTTAAAGAGTTCAATTTTATACAACGACAATATAAAAAAATCTTTGATTATATATAATTATTTAAGAAAATAGGATTAGTAACCTGAAAAATAAGATCATATTACAATCTACATATTAAAATACATTGAAGATATAAAAAATTATTTACACTGTAAATATTTATAAGTTAAATGAAAAATATAGTAGGATAATGTGACCAAAGATAAGAATCTTGGTAGAAGGATTAAAAAAGGGGGTATGGGATCAAGAGAGGGTCCCACATGGAGTGTTTCAACTTTGAAGCTACACCTTATTTTTCTAGTACTGATTAACCACCAGACAATAATACAATATGCAGTAAAGTACAGATATATAAAGATTAAGACATCAAATTTTTTTTCCTTCTATCTGTTGAATGAATTCCTAATCTCTTTAAGGTCTAGACAAAGACCCCATAACAGATTATTGTTTACTTACCTTTTCATCTTTATTTTATGGTAAGATAGCACCATCTTCCAGACATATCCAGTTGTTGTCCTAAACAACTCTATTAAGAAAATATTTAAAATTTCTCTCTTCAGACTCATAAACATTAAATTAACTCAATCAACATCTAGCAAATTTAATTAATTACCAACAAACCCACAAAACTTCTAACAACACATGAGAAGTTCAACCTCTCTTGAAGTAGTTATTATAGAGTTATCTTGTGGATGAGTACAAAAAATGTCAACTTAATTCACTTTGGATATAAAAAATTAACATCTCCATCTAGCCTATATTATGGTAATTATTACCCTAGCATGTGCAAACTATAATGACTTCTAAACAAAGTCTCTAGCTGCATAATTGATTGTCTTTTTTTTTTTAACCTTTTCTTAAATCCAAGTTAGAAGCCAAACATAGGTTCTGTTTTGGAGAAAAACACTAAAACAAGAAACTGCCAAGAACAGTATTCTTTTCTTTAAAAAAAATTATTCTTGAAAAGTGAAATAGAGTGAAAAAGGAAACTTTGGAAGTTGGCAAATATGTTCTAAAATAAGGATAATTATGGACCCATTCTTTGAATCACATGAGTTTTGGAGGCCAAGTAGTACTAGTGTCTACCTATCAAAAGCGAGCTAAAATTTTAATTTTATAGGTTCTGAATTTTAGAACTATAATTTCAAACATTAATAATTGGGATTTGAATTAATATATGTACACATTTATAAACTTCTAAACACGAATATATTATTTGAGCAAAAACTAGCGCATTCTGTGAACATTTGGACTAATATCTCCGTCCTAAAGGCAACATGTACATACATCCATACTTACCATCATTTGGGAAGAAAAAAGTGGGCGTGGGAAGTTGGCTTTTCATACCTAAAGCAACATCACTAGCAGGCCAACTTTGATAGGGATATCAACATGTCATCTTCTCTACCTACCCCAAACCACTATGAAATTTTACTCTATATCCCAAAATTTAAAAATAAAAGAAAAAGGAACAAATGAAAGGGAGAGAAGAGTTGGTGAGAAACTAAGTGTAATTATAGTTGATGCATTGGTTATGGGATATTATTAGAGTTAAGAAGGGCAACTCGATGGATTTAACTTTTGTAATAGTTGGAATTATGTAAAGAGTCAAACAACAGTGACTATGTTACTTTCGTTTATATTTCTGCGGCTAAATACATGCAAAGACACTTAAAATTGACACGATTTTTCATTTAGACACCTAAATTTAGGAGTATTCCTGATGAGCATGTACACTAGACGAACTTTGTTCTACTTAGACACTCTTTTGACAATTAGCCAAACTTACAAAGGGTGTGTAATATACTCGATGCTGACATGGCAAATGACGAATAAAATGAGTACATATATCTTTTTGAGTTAAAAAAAAAGAAAGGAAAAACTATGTTAAATCTATTTAATAAGCAAAATAAAAATAACATTCTCAAAAAGAAAAGAAAACTTAATTTACACCCAATCAAGAAAGAACACATTAAAAAAATGACATATTGGTATTCTGGAAATCAGTGTTCTTGGTCTTCTTCACTATCTTCATGTGTGTTCTTGTTTCAATCACGATTTTAATCCAAATTTTTAAGAGAAACTCCTTCAAATTTTATTATAACTTCAACTAAAGATTCCCCTCGACGACCCGAAAACTGCCCCAACATTAATTTCTCAAGCTTTCATCAAATCAAGTAACTCATTTTAAACTTTCAAGCTTTCTAAAGACCCCATTAATGGTGTTTCGATTTGAAACGAAGAACACCGACTCACTTCAATTTTAATCAATAGAGACAATTGTTGATTCAAACTTTCGAGCTAAATTAATGGTGGAGGCACAACAATGGTGAAACTCGAGGAGGCAATAGTGGAAATGGTGGTGGAGAGAAAGAAGAAGAAGAAGAAAAGAAAAAAGAAACAAAACTTTATTTTTTGGACTCTTCACGCGCTTATATTGGATAAACTCACTTTATGTGACAACTCAACTCAAGAAGAAATGCTTAATTGGAATAATACTTATCCCATTTAAAATAAAAGGGGTTCAACACTCTTCCTACTTCTAATCTTCTATGATAAATCCTAGTCTTCTGTTAGATCTATATGTGAGTGGGCCATGGGATTTGGTGCACTACATAGCCTCAAATCTCTGACTTTTTCCCATTCTTTGCTCTTTCACTTTTCTTCTTAAATTGTCATAACAAATGAAAAATAAGAACTAATTTAAATGTTTCTTGCACTCTTCTTAAATGTCACATTTATATTCAGAATTTACTGACGGTGTTTACAAATTAAACTCTATTTAATAGGCTTTTTGTTTAAAGCTCCTTACAATTTCGAAAATTAGCCTAATTTCCCTAATATGAAGCACCCCTTTTCAAAATTGTTTTTTTAATAATACCTCTTTTTTGGGATCTTTTATTTGTACTATATTCGACTTATGACTATATGTTTTTAGATTGAGCAGTTTACTAACTACTGGTAATAAATCTTTAAATTGACTTCACTTAACTTTATCCAGACAAACTAATCTTCTCTGGTTAAAATTTAATCAACTACTCTTTCAAGGGCTATAGTTGGAGGGAGATTACATTTATATCCATTTTTTGACAAAATAAACACTCTTAAACTTAATAAGAATAATCAGAGATGTATCCAGTTGCCAAATTATTAAATGATTTAATTGTAATGCATAGGTGGACCATGAGCTAATTATCTATTAGTAAATAAAATGCCTCCAACTTCATTATATTGTTTATTAGACACTAAATCCCAAGCAATCACTAAACACATCCAAAAAGGCCCTTTTAGTCATTAGAGATATAGATTTTGCCTTGGATAGTATTTAAAAAAATAATAATTGCATGGTTCTCTTCTTAAACCATACAGCAATTAGAACATCTTTATCAAATATTATGTCTTATTGTTTTTTGATTATGCCAATTGATTGATGTTTCATTTTAACCAAAGAAAACAATGTGAAAAGGACTTGAAATGTAGTATCCCATATATCCTATACCTAGTAAAAAATATAAAACAATTTTAATCTATTACCATTACACAAATTTTGATCTTGTTAAAGCTGAATATGTCACATCTTAATCTAGATCCTATTATGTACATTGAAATAAGATTGATAATGCCCAATATATGAATATATGCTGCCATATTTATAAAGACTTCAAAAAAAAGAAGAAGAGAGAGGACATAATAGCACTTTCACCTCCTCACATCAATTATTATTTGCTTAAAATCCACAATTACAAAAGGAGGTTGAACTAATATTCTAACAGCACTCATGAGTCATGCCCCTCACTCCCATTTAACAACTTTCTTAGATCACTTCGTTGAGTTTGACCTTCACATTTCTAACCAACCACATCTCACTAATTATATTTTTTTGTTTTTATTTAATATTCGATAATCCATATATTCTCAGATTTGAATTCGAAATTTCTAATTAAAAACGATAAAATCCTATTTATTCTAGCACAATTTTTAATGATCATTAGTTAAATAGTACTACTATAAGTTTAACAGTTTAACTCCACTTGTCTGATAACTAAAAATCACAAACCCCCCACACACAAAAAAAAAGAGTGCACCCCCCAACTCCACCTATAAGCTATAACCATGCCAAAGCCTGCCTTCCAAGGAGGAGTATATCAAAAGTCAAAACTCAAAATCTCAATAAACTCTTGGAAACTCCAATAACCTTCAACCCTTTTCTTTTCTTGAACAAAGAGTGATGACAGAGTAATGTAAATGGAGGTATCTATGGATTGCAGCCTTTGGGACAGTGTTTTGGAGCTAACTACGGTATCCCAAGAAAAGGGTGGTGATCCATTGGTTTGGGCAATACAAGTTTCTTCATGTCTGAGTTCAGCAGGGGTGTCTTTGCCTTCTCTTGAATTAGCCAATTTCTTGGTATCTCACATTTGTTGGGAAAACAATTTGCCTATAGTATGGAAGTTTTTGGAGAAGGCATTGGTTCTCAAGATTGTGTCTCCCATCATTGTTTTCCCTC